CTCTGATCAGTCAGCAGCCATTAGCATCTACGTGTACCAGCAAAAAGATTGTGACTCATTGAAGGCTTACATGATGCTTAACATTTTTTTAGCAATAAGAGTATTTTTAAATTAAGGTATGTACTTTTGTTTTAGACATAATGCTATTGCACACTTAACAGACTGCAGTACATTATAAACCTAATGTACTGGGAAATCAGAACATGTGTGTGACTTGCTCTATTGCCATATTCACTGTATTGTGGTGTTCTGGAACCAAATCTGCAGTATCTCCTAGGTATGCCTGTAATAGAAAATATATATTGATCTCTACCTCGGGTTCCTGGTACAAAACTCCTAATACTCTTGTAATTTACCAAGTAATAATACTTAGAGTGTCTCTTGTTGTAATATTGGCTTTTGACCTCTGTCCCTGACATAGGGCTTCTCAAAACCTTGTAAATTCTTACGTGATGAGTGTAGGAGCATTTTCTGTTCTATTGAGGTGACTCTATATGGGTTCCTGGATGACTCCTGGATGGGTGCTGGTAACCGTGAAAAACAAGTCATGATTTAAAAGCTTGGGCTTTTCAGCCCCACCACCTTTCATTCTCTGGAGAGAGGGGAGGGACTACAACTGGAATTAATATTTGGTTATGCCTACATGAGGAAACTAAAATCCCAGTAGTAGGGAGTTTGGAGAGCTTCTAGGCTGCAAATACATCCTCACCAGGAGGGTGACGCACCCTAACTCCATGACGACAGGGAGCTCCTGCACTTCGGACTCTCCCAGGCCTCCTCTCATATATCTCTTCATCTGACTGTTTGTATCCTTTATCATATCCTTTAGTAAACTGGTTAACATGATTGTTTCCTTGAATTCTGTGAGCTGTTCTAGCAAACCTGAGGAGGGGGTCGTTGGAACCCCCATTCTATAGCTGGTTGGTAAGAAACATAGGTAATATCCAGGATTTGTGACTGGCATCTGAAGTGGGGATGGGAGGGTAGTCTTGTGGAACTGAGCCCTGACTTGTCATATCTGACACTGTCTCTGGATAGATAGTGTTAGATTGTATTAAATTGTGGAAACACGGCTCATGTCACAGAATTGCTTATTGTGAGGGAAAACCCCTACATATTTGGTGACCAGAAGTGTCAGAAATGAACTGTTCTGTATGAACAGAAAAGAAAATACACAGTAGGGAAGAACTAGGTTTTTCCCTGCATAGGAAGGTGGAAAGACTGAAGTTTTTTCCATTACAGCTATAAATCACTGAATTGTATACTTTTAAAAGGTGAATTTAATAGTATGTGAATTATACCTCAATTTATTTTTTTAAAAAAAGCTTTAGCTTTTATTTTTGAAAAAATGAATAGGACTGTGAGTGGTTGTGCTAGAGCATCTATATAAGGATCTATCAGAGGCATCAGCCAAGAGCTGAAAACCCTGAAGATAGAAGTTAATCAGATGAGGGAAGTTATAGCTTAGAAATTTGGGAAGTAGCTTCCAACAAAAACACCATAATGTACAGTACCAGATATAAAGGAATGTTGGGGTACAACCTGAAACCACATTGTCTTTTGATGTATTTTATGTCTGAACTATGTATTTAAAACCACATTGTCTTTTGATGTATTTTATGTCTGAACTATGTATTTATTCTATCTTTTTATTTTATTAGTAGTTATGTCTTACCTGAGTTTGAGAGGGTATTCTCAGCTAGGTAGTAAATGTACCACTATAGTAACCATTCTTGGGGCATTTTTTGATGTCACAACTATGGAACACCAACTGGCCTGGGAAAGCAGAGTTGTTATTTTTGGTTGAAACATAAGGAATCTGTGTTTTATAAGTAATGGTTCTGAATTTCCTTTGATGTAAATTAGTTCTTAATCTGTTTTGGCTTCAATTGAGTCACCTTCCAGGCCATTCTTATCCTTCTAGCTAGTCATCCCATTCTTTTATCCATCCATGTGTTCAACCTCCTGTCCTTTCTAGTTCATTTTATAGACTCTCAAATTATTACCTCAGCTGCTGCAATTCTCTCTGCTTTGATACTTACCAGTGAAAGTTATTTTCAGCACCCATTTCACTGAAAAGTCATCCAGAGGAAATATTGTTTCTGGATGTCCTAGAGTTAGAGAGTCATTGTTGTCAAAGGTATGAGATCCTGGCTGCCAGGTTAGCCTTCAGGTCCCCCTCTCAGTCACTCTCTGTCCCCAACTTTACCATTTAATTTTTTTAGCCAATCCTCCACACCTGTTTGATAGGTGCTAATGCCCACATTGTTGCCTTGATGCTGTCTTCTCAACCAAGGCCATATTAGAAAGCTTGCTCAAAATTTAGTTTGTTCAATATGGCTATCTTCACATATTTTTCCATTCTGATTTCCTTGACTTTTAACACCTAAATACAAGTTTTATCGATTTAGAATACTTACAGGGCTTTATGAATATTGATATGTATACATTTTATCTCTCTAGCTCTCTTACACCTTCTTCAAGATTAGTAAAACTCTGATTTGTTTTATACCCCCAGAGAGCTTTTATTATATATTTGTAATTTGTTTACTCATTTAAGCAAAGGTTTTTGTTGGTGTCGGTTTGTTCTTGGGGGGGGAGGTGTTTAGGGCATCTAAAACTCAAGTATATTTAAAATAATCCATACCACCCTAGATGGAAAAATTGTTGATTTTCATTAATAGCTGTCATTGGCCAAGTGCATACTGTTTGTCAGGCATTGTTGTATTAATGTCTTTAATCCTCACAAGAACCCTGTTATCTTGTTTCACAGAAAAGGAGATGGAGACACAGAGGAAATAATACTTGCTGAAGGCTATACAGTTAGTAAATGGCAGAGCCAGCATTCAAACTCAGCTCCACATCCAATGCTCATAACCACTTCTCTATATTGTCTCTCATTTCAGAAATTTTTTTATTTAAATTTTTTATTCATGTATAGTTGATGTACAATTATAGTTTCAGGTGTGCAACATAGTGAATCAGTATTTTTCTAGATTATATTCCATTTAAAGTTATTATAAAATATTGGCTATATTCCCTGTGATTTATAATATTTCCTTGTAACTTACTTGTTTTATACCTAGTAATTTGTGCCTCTATCCCCATCCCCTTTCCCCTCCCCACTGGTAACCACTAGTTCTCTATACTGTATTGCTTCTCATAATTTAAAATCATTTAAAGTAATTTGTAATGTAGCAATTTATTTTATATTGGAGATGACTATAATATTCATAAAAACTAACAGTTGAGTAAACAGGTAGATGATGACAGGGGTTTGAATGTACTCACCTTAAATAGGACAGCAGAAGCACAGATGGTGTCATCCCCAGCCCATTAGTTAATAACTCCCCAAGTTTTTACTGATTCCAGAATCCATTCATGTCATCTAGACTATACCTTAGTACCTAATGCACCATTTAAAAAATGAAAAAGGAAGTCATTATATGTGATAGCATTCAGTGTCAATGAAATACTTGATAACATCCAAAAACTATTAGTGTTTTTATAACATAACACCCTCATTAATAGTTGTCATTTATTCAACAATTACTTAATGAGTCCCAGAGCTGTCATAATTTTAATTACTAGTTACTATTTTTAGCATAGAATTCAAATGAGATTTGAGTGATATTTGTAATGTTTAAATTTGTGTATCTAATCATATAGGGAGACACTCCCTTTAAAATGTGATACTGTACATATATATTTCATAAATTGCACAAATCAGATTATTAAATCTTGTTACAACCCCTAAAAGCATGGCTTTCCTGTACATGTTACAAATGGAGTGTACTCCAATCATTGTTCAATAATACCAATTAGAAGAATGGAAGTATTCAGGAATTTTTTTTGTATGTAGTTTTAAAATACCTTTTATATCAGGTCAGTCTTTCAGAAAGAGTGCTTAATAATTCCACATATTTGAATTTAAGACAGTGCTATCCAACTCAAAAAACATTTAAGCAACTCTAGTTGGAATATATAGATGTTGACATTTTCTGTTTCAGATTTCCAAGATAAACTCTAGATCTTCTCTAAAATTTGAATTTATTTTTAGATGAATTGTAACTTTAAATAACTTTTGATAATATATTCTGATCCATATTTTGGGATATAGGGAAGAATCTTCAGATTGGGAACTGTCATAGAAAATGAAGAATTATGGATGTGTGGCCTGATGACGGGTCTTTCATAATGTGCCAAGAGAGTTTTTGATGTATTCATATTTAACTATTTGGGGCAGAAATTCAGAATTAAATTGAATAATAGCTTGATTTCAGTAGTTCAGGCAATGTTAATTTGTACCTACTTAGCAAGCCCTCCTCTTCTGACCTCAGGGACTCAGAGCTGACTTTCCACTGGGAATTCCATGACTCTTACAGAGAGACAGATACGTTAACATAGGGTCGGGTAAGGTAAAGAAGGTGAAGAGGTAAGGGATAAGGGATCACATCTGTTAAGGTGTGTTTTATTACTTCTAGAGGTTCCTCCAGATTAAGGTTTTTGTAGACTGCTCTGCATTTTGCAGAGCACTGGCAGTGTGGACTTCACTAATGATCAGGTAGGAGGGGGTTTTTTTCATCTGAGTTTCAGTATTCAAGGCAGTGAGCTGAAGTGTTACATTTAGAAATGGAAAGCTTTTAGTAGACAGAAAGGTAATTACTTGGATTGTAGTCTCTTCTCTAATTAAATTACATATTTGTGCTGTAGTGTTTGATTGGCATTTCTTTATCTGTACTAAATTTACCTTAAATTGGAATCTATTTTGATCACAGTATAAGTGGTGCAGAAACATTTATTAAAATGCGGAAGTGCCTGTGACACTACAAAAGAGCAATAAAATACAATACAGAGGCCTTGAAAATGTAGTAATGGTCTCATTGGAGTCATCTTTGTTCTCAGAATTACATAATGAACTTGTCCTCTGCTGAGCTTGGAAGAAACCTACTTTGAGTCACATTGTCATTTTATTTTCCTAATTACTTGACATAATGTAAGGGTAACAAACAGCATTCTTCACGCTACCCTCCCTTGTTTAACTCCACATCTTTTCTTGCTACACAAACAAAAGACTGCTTCACTAAAATGAAAATGAAGTTACTGATTAAAGAGAATCAATAGAAAGTGATAAGAAGCTGGGTGAGGAATTCAAGAAAGACTTTATTGGGACTCTTGCTGCAGCAGGAGGGAGTGAAAAGCGAGTAACAGGTGCCTTGTTTGCTTCCCGATGAGAAGCAAGCTGGTTCCTTAAATGGGGTGCGGGTAGGGGCAGATTGGTGGGTTGGTGGGAGGATGGCTTAGGTAGTCTGCCCACCCCCTTGATGGTGCTGTGTGCAGGGATCATGCGCAGTACCCTGCTTTTGCTCCTGGCACCTCAGAAGTGGTTATTGGGCTTTGGCCTTTGGCCTTTTTGTATCTTATTGTTCATAATTTGCCCCAACTGCACATGCATGCAGTTATTTTTAGTCCATTATCGTTTCTTTGTATTCTGTTGCTTAAGGAAATGTTTGTCTAGGTGCAAGCACCGCAGCAAAGGGTTGCAGATCTCAGCTTGTCTGAAAGTTGGATTAAGATGAGAAATTACAGGAACAAGGTAGAGTTGAGAGGCAAAGTATTGTGCTGGGAAGACAGGAGCTTTGGAGTTAACATCTGTGTTTTAATTCTAGCTACAACCTTTATTCTCTCTGGGATTGGGATGATTTAGTTAACCTTCTTGTATTTCAGCTTCTTCATCTCTGAAATGGAAATAGTAATACCATACTAATACAGAAAGACTGAAGCAGTGTTTTTTATTATAGAGAGACTGGGTTTAATTTTGATTGCAGGGTATTTGTTGATTGAGTTTTAGTGAACATATTTATTAAATCCTGGATATACAAAGAACACCAGTAAGATACAGTTCTTATCTCCAAATGACTAAAATTGTAATAATGCATTCTTAATTTGTATCCAGGTCTTTGATTGTATAGAGTAGCAATGGTATGTTAAGTTGGTTGGTGGTAGAATTTTTAGCACTGGTCGGGCAGGAAATGGTCCTTATTGTTGACCACAAGGTAGAATTTCTAGGTTTAATATGCCTCAGAAACTAGAGAAATACATGGTTTAAATTAAGATTATGAGGCTACTAGTGGTTTCATTCTCATGCAAGTGAATCCATTTTAAAATCTTTGGATTTTAAAGTGACACACTGATAAGTATTTGAGACATTATCAAAAAGGAAGACTTTTTCTTGCCTTTAGTTCAGATTAATTAAAATTCATGTTTTCTTTCAAGGCTTTTTTGTTGTCTATAAACATAACATGTATTCATTAGAGAACATTATAAAATTATAATAAATAAAATTTTGAACTTTTGTCTTGGCAAAAAGTAAATTAAAAGACACAGTA